TGATTCTTTTACTAATAAGAAAGGTAGATATTACTTGATCAACTAGTACATTGACCTGTATATGATCATTAGCATCTTCTTTCATTTTTTTTCTGGTTTTTCTGAAGGCTCACGTTTGACTGAATTAAATCGGTGAGTCAATCTGGATCTAAACCTTTTCGACGAAGTAGTCCACGTCGACGTTGTGCTTTTCGATCACCGCGGCATTTTTTCTTGCGTTTTACCTCTTCACATTTCTGTGGTTGTGCTGCTTCCTGTTTTTATTGTTGTCCAGTCAACACTTATGTTGGTGAAAGTAATTCATATTAGTGACCTTGAGCATCTTCACTTGGTGTTTTTAAAATTAATTTCGTTGTTGTCATTGTTTTGTTTGTTTCAATATAATTCATTTATACAGAACACTAAATATTTAAAATGCAAAGAGGAAACATTAAATCTCGAAAAAGTAGGAGTCAACAATTATAGGATATCTAATTTTAATAAAGTTTACGAAAAAAACCATCTACGTAATGTATAACAAAAGAAACAAAAAAATCTCTGAATTTCATAATTATAGACAGCCATTTTGTGTTCCGTCGATATTTTGGTCGATGAATGACTTCAATGTTTATATTATTGAGTTGTGGTTGATTTTTCAAATAGTCTTCCTATAAGGTTGTGATATTTTGTTGAAAATCGTATAGCTCTTCTTCATTTAAATCAGATGTAATGTAGCACAGTTGTTCTCTTTGTTGTTTCCATCTTTGTTTTATTTTCATTGCTTGATGTTGTTGATCACATTCAATAATTTCTTCACACATTTTATCATAGGTATTTTGATTCAAATTTGATTTCCAATTGGAAATATGAAAATCTTGGAAAAATTGCTCAACATGTTCTTTTATAAAATTGATTGAATAGCCGTTATTTAAAAATACTATTTGAACATCACAGCGTTCATTGTGAAAATCAGATACTTTGGAGCGAATTAATGCTGCGCGCATAAGACATGCTTGAATTAATGTTGAATACATTACAGGTGGATCATCCAATATAAAAGATAATCCATGTGGTTTAATATCATTATCGTGATTAATTGTAGTTCGAAGTTGACTATTGATATGACTTATTTGAACATCGAGATAGGCGACATTTTTTCCAATTCAAATTGCTATAGATAAATGGGTGTGGGTGTGTTGGTGTGTGGGTGTGTGGGTGTGTGGGTGTGTGGGTGTGTGGGTGTGGGTGTCGGTGTGGGTGGGTGTGGTGTGGGAGTGGGTGGGTGTGAGTGTGGGTTTGGGTGTGGGTGTAGGTGTGGGTGTGCGTGTCGGTGTGGGTGTGGCTGTGGGTTGTGCGTATGGGTGTGTGTGCGTGTCATTCTTCTTTCAGCCCTTTATCCAACCACACCCACACCCACATCCACACTCACACCCACACGCACACCCACACCCACACCCACACTCACACTCACACCCACACCCACACCCACACCCACACCCACACCCACACCCACACCCACACCCACAC